ATTATAAATATAATATGTCTTGGTGTGGATCTCTTTGGGTTCATCTTCTGGTTTTCCTGGACCTCAATGTCTGCTTCCTTCTCCAGGTAACACTTATTTCTTCAAATAAGTCTCCTGGCTCTTTCTCTCTTCTTCGTCTCGGACCCCTATGATGTGAATGTTATTCCAATTAATGTTGTCCCATAGACTTCTTAAGCTATCCTCATTTTTTAAAATTCTTTCTTCTTTTTGCTTCTCTATATGAAATCCATCAATTTGTCCTGCTTCATCCAGTTTGCTATTGAACCCCTCTAGTGTACTTTTCAGTTCAGTTATTATGTTCTTAAGTCTGTAACTCCTGTTTGGTAGTTTTTTACATTTCCTATCTCTTTGTGAAAGTTCTCACTGTGTTCATCCTTCCTTCTCCAAAGTTCAGTGAGCATCTTTATGACCATTATTTTGAATTCTTTATCAGGTAGGTTTACTTTTAATCCAGTTGATTACTGATTAAAGTCTTTTAAAACTTCACATCATTAAAGTCTTTTTCCAAGGTTTTGTCTTACTATTTTACTTGGAACATATTTCTCTATCATCTCATTTTGATTAACTCTCTGTTTATTTTTAGATATTAGGTAAAGCAGCTGCCTCTCTCAGTCCTGAAGGGCTTGTATAGGTAGCAAATATTTCCATTTATAGTTCCCCTGCCTCCGACTTATCTCTCAAACCTTTGTTATTGGCTAAACTACCTGATTTACTCTTGACATGCCTTTGTTGTTGAAGGTATGCCAAGACCTTCCAGTGTTCCAAGGTGAGGAATCTCATTTAGCACTAGCTTCAGGCTGATTGGAAGCCAGACCCTCAAGCAGCAGCTTTTAAAATATGTTGATATATATAGTCCTAGGGGGCTGCAACTGTCATCCCTGCTAGCCAGACCAGGTGATCTGGAGGTGTCCCCTGGGCGGCAATCACAAACATGGGCTCTAGACAAGAGTATAGACTCCTTTTTGAAGCTGTTGTTGAGTTGTAGCAAGGCCAAGGGGGTGCACAAGGATGGTGTATCCCTGAGAGTGACTTCTTGGCCTCTAGATGAATGGGAATCTGAAGCCTGTCCCTCAGGATGAAGCTCTGGGCTAAGTAAATAGAATTTTCTCACAGGATGACTGGGGTTGTGTTTCAGTATGCATGTGTGCAGTGCCCTTGAGGTGATGGTCTACCAAGAACTATCTTTCTGATGTTACATTCCTATAGAGTTCAGGAATTCCAGCCCCCTTGGCCACCAGGGCTAGGTGCTCAAGGGGCATCCCCAGTGTGGACTGTGGCTTTATCCAGGCAGCTGGGAAGTGTAGGGAGCAAGGTATACTTGCTGGCTTCAGAAAGGAGCAGAAGGAAACCATTTTGACTGTTCATACCTGCTGGCTTTAGGAATGCAGCAGGAAAGTGCCTTGTCTGTATGTGTGTGTATTAGCTTTAGGCAGGCAGAGAGAGAATGCCACAGCTGCTGGTGCCGGGCAGCCCCAGGCAGGGAGCAGTCAAGTGCTGCAACTGCCCACACTCCACGACTTCAGCTACGGAGCTGGAGAAATGAAGTGACCAACAGCCTGCCCCAGTCAGGTAGTGGGGTCATGCTACAGCACCCGGACACTCAGGCTTCACTGAAGTAGCAGGATGGTGCTGCCAGGGCTCACCCCACCTGTCTCAGCAAGGCGGCGGCAGGTGGGTGCCGCAGCCAGTGGAGCTCGTAGTCTTAGAGAATAGAGAATTATGATACATAGTCCCCTATCCCACTGGTTCTCCAATCGCAGCTGTTTAATTTTCTTTTACTCAAAAATATAGTGAAGACCAGTAGAGAAAAGAGCACTGTTTTCCTCCCACTGCAACTTCTTCCTAGACTCTATTTTACAGCCTGAAAGGACAAACTGGCCAAAGAAGGAAAAAATTCTAAGTCTTTAGAACACAGAGCTAAATAATTATTTCTAAGAAAATGAAATTACTTTTTATCATTCACACACTGAAAATGGCTTTCCTGACTGTCCCCTGTAAGTCCGTAATAGCACTGGCAGCAGAACACACAATTTCTGACAATAGACAATACAAGCAAAAAAATTAGTCTCCTGTGTGCAAAATAACACTTTCATAACAATGGGCAATTCAATGGCCTGCTCTCTCAAGACCTTTGCCAAAGAGAAATACCAGTGCAAGCTAATCACATGAGCTAATAGAAAAAATTGCATGTGTAATGGAAAGGCATCCCCCTAAAGATTAGCTGAGAAAAGGTCTTAGCACCAAATTCAAAACAACAGAAAACTGTGAGAGCAAACACAGGAGCATATGCACAGGCATCCTCATTAGCATACTGCAGCTAGCCATTTTTGTTGATGTACATAAAAGAGTTGTAAAATTCTTTGCCTTGGAAAAAAACATCTTCCATGAGTAACAAATTTTCCCCCACGCTGACTTAAGTACTTTGCTCCAATGTACAGCTATGGTTCATTCTTACATTGAGGACTTTGTTACTTTGGAGAGCCAAATAGTTCACATCAGAAAGAGACGTGGAGAATCAAAGGCCAACTTACGCATGCTAATTCTCACGTTGGGCAAGGAGTATAACCAGCCTGCCATAGGGTACAGTGGAGCAACGGCCAATCTGTCCAAGTTTGACTTTTCATGTGTCATTGTGCCATATGCCTGATGTATGAAGAGTGCTTCAGGACTGGAATTCGAATCCCTCAGGAAATGTTTCAGAAAGAGCCTTGTAACACTCACACACCCAACAAACAGCAAACAAAACAGCAGTTCCAACGTGACCAAAACAGAGGTATGATGCCATCTCTAATGCATGGGCTACTTTAAGACCACCCCAAATCTTAATGAATTTATCATAGGAGGAGAAAAGCATCTGCAAGAGTTTGTTCTACCCAATCTCTGGTAAGCGAGGGGTCCAGGCAGGATGATGGCTTGTGCAAATTGTGCCATTTAAAAAGAGTTGAAAGAAGAGACTTTTCCCAAAGGCATGGGCTGGATATAGAGAAACCCAAGGACAATACCAGGGGACTACTAACAGCTTATCCCTAAGCTGAAGCTTCCAGTGGAGGAAGTAACATGAAAGAGAGAGAGCAATTTAACAAAAGTCACAGCCTTCATTTAGGATGCTGTATCTCCCTTTAGGTAAGGATGTAGTTAACCTGTACCAGCATCACAAAAGAAAGCCTTTTTTCCTTCATCCTATTTTCTGATCTCTTTCTAGTGCTCCCTTCTGGATTAAATCCAAAGAAAACCCAATGGCAAATGAGCAAGGAGCCTATTGATGATGTCGGCCTCCCAGACCAAAGAAGTGCACAGACTCAACTGTGATGAAGGGAGGGAGGTGACCTGGGTGTGGCAGTGGAAGGAACACTGCAGCACAGAGGATTTCTCTGCGAAGGTTAGGGCCCATCAGTTACAACATAAGGGAAAGAAAACAAAAATTTTAATAGGGCTATCCTTTTGTAATGAGCTCAGCTAACATGTAAGATTGGATTGTCAAACCAGATTAACTCAAATCGGAGATCCCACCCAGTATCAGGCTTTCCTAATAATATCAAGGATCCAAGCAGTCAAGACGCTCAGATAAAGCAGAGAGGCATGGGGTATCAAGGGGACTGTCCGGTTCCTGCACCAGGTATCCCTGGCCCAGAATGGTAGGTGAGGTCTCTAAGGGACATTTGTGGGGTTGCTTACACAGAAGAAACATTTAAACTATAAGACATTTCCCTTTTATATCCAGAGAGTTGGGATACCCTGGTGCCCCTCTCTAGGGAGACCTGCTTCATGGATCCGAGGTTCCATTTAATCTAAGCAACACCTCAGCCAGGGATCAGCCTGCTAGGGAGAGTCGGTGGATAAGCTCTCCTGATGAGCTGTATCATGAGTGTGTTACCCAGAGGTACACTTGAAAAGAGATAGACTGACCTTGGCTTCTTTTCTCCCAGATCCTCCTCCCACACCTCCAGGGAAGGGAGCTAATGGATTTTAGGAGGCTGCTTTAACTCCTTCCTCCCCCAAACACTATTATTTAAATGAAAAGAGCAAGAGATAGAGAGAGAGAGAGTGTGTGTGTGTGTGTGTGTGTGTGAGGAAAGAAGCAAGCAGGCATGCAAAGAAGGGAGGAAGGGAGGGAGGGAGAGGAAAAAGGGGGAGATTGATTATTAGGAAGAGAAAGAAAAAACTGTGGAGGAGGGAAGACTACCAGTCTCTCTTGCATGAGAATGGCATGGGCACATCTGGTGTACTTGTTAATGCAATCTTCTGACTTGGTCAGGCAGGTGCACAGCAAAACGCAGCTCAGATTAGTTCCTCCAAGGACTCCTCGTGCACATCCTTCACCCAGCATGGTCACACTCTGCTCCTCCCAGGTACCAGGAGGGCACTGCCCACCCCCAGACTCTCAGGCCATCAGTGACTGACTTTTGTACGCATGACACTTGGAGCTTTTAGATCTCCTTTTCCCAGTTTGAAGAAGATGGTGCAAGGAGCCCTCTAAAATACAGGTGTGGAAATGGGTGGGGCTAAGTTGAGGGTGATCCACAGCTGTACTGGAGGTAAATCCATTAACCTTCTGGGACTGCAAGCAATTCAATACAAGTGTGCGTTTTCCTAGGACAGGGTCCAAAATGGTCATGGGCTTCTCAAAAAGACTGAGGGTCTATAGAAGTTTAGCTAGTAACAGTATCTGGAGTTTTTAGTGAATATGAATTGAGGGACAGATAAATTGAGCCCCAGCTGCCAGGGCCCACCCTGGCCCAGCATGGTAGGTGAGGTCTCTCAGGGACATCTGTGGGGTTGCTTACACAGAAGACACATTTGGTCTACCCAGCTGGCCCCTCGTCCATCATCCTTACCCACAGGAACTTCTTAGAGCCCAAGGTAATGCCCGAGTGTGAACAACATCTTTCCTTCCAAATGATTTCAAATATGCTGTGAAACATTTTGAATATAAAACACCTTATTTTAAAATTAAATTAAATGTCAAGAGTGGAACTTACCATTTTGTTTTGTTAGATAAAGCCTCAAATCCATCTTGCAGATCTTTGCATCTTTCTGTCAGCTGGAGCGTGTTCTCATTCAGATATGGGCTGTTTCATGAAAGAGATTTTAAAAAAGATTGACTTAAAATGAGAGCTTCTAAGACACTGTTAGCAAAAATCAGATTTAATTGATAAAGTGTGCCCAAATGAAGTCTGATTTTCATTCTATTATTGGATTTCTCCATGGAAAAGGAAATTAATATTTTCAATTCTGATAGGTCTAAATTAAAAAAAAAAGTTTACACTGTAAAGTCCAACAGAAAAGAACTCTTTATGGAAGACTTCATTTTCAGGGTTTCATATTTTGGGGTTAGTATTTAAAATGAAGTTACTGAACAATTCTGATCACTATATATGCATACAGGCTGTTTTTAATGGATGCTGTCTCTGGTAAGAAGCATGCAACCTAGGAGGTCACTAATATTCTCTAAAAAGAACATGAGGTAAGTCTGGTCTTTGATTTATTATAATAGCTGTAATATAAGGGCTGGTCGCTATTGTTTTATGAATTCGGTAAACTGAAATTTTCTTGTCGAAATTAAAAAAGTCAAAAGCAAGTTAGGGACTGGCTTATGGAGTCAGGCAGCCTAACAAGCCGGGTGGACATATGCATGCGTTTAACCACTCTGGACGATAGTTTCTGCACCTCTAGTCCTTGCCTTATAGTGTTACTGTCAGCATACACATGATGGAGAAACCACTCTGGACGATAGTTTCTGCACCTCTAGTCCTTGCCTTATAGTGTTACTGTCAGCATACACATGACGGAGAAAACAATGTAAACCACTTGGTACAAAGTCCGACAAAGCAAATGCTCAAATCACTTCTCTTAGACTTCAAACATATGCATGTAACTCCAGCTCACTGCTAACACATTCATTTAATCATCCTGAAAATATCTGCTGGGAGCCTAATCTGGGCCAGAGGCCAGGCACAGGATGCTGAGGATACAGAGGTAAGACAGACACAGTCCCTTTCCCTAGGGAGCTTGCAGTCTGGCTAGGGAGAAAGACAGTTATCAAATGAAAAACCACACAAATTAGAGAGAATTATGAGCTATGATTAGGATCATTAAGACAGTAATGGGTGTCATGGCAGAGTGTAGCAGGGAGACCCCTGCTTAGTGAGGGGGCTTTCTAAGACAGTGTCATTTAGGTGGTGATCCCAAGAATAACCTAAGTGACCTGGATGACCTTTGGGAAGTGGGGTAAAGGTTCTAGGCAGAGAGGAAAATGTGTGCAAAGGCCCAGACTGAGCAGCAGCCAAAATATTTGAGGAACCAGAAAAAGGAAGGTGGGCTTCAAGGCTGAAAGGCTAAAGGTTGCTTGTAGCACTAAGTAGGGGAAAGAGCATGCAGGCCTGGTAAGCCACGTGTAGAATTTATCCTAATAACAAGGGTAAACAGGGGAATGATGTGACCTGATCTGTGTTTTAAGAGATTCACTATGCCGAGAAATGAAATGAAGGAAAACAAGGCTACCAAAAAAGTGGGGACATTAGGGGGCTTCTGCAGGGTTCCAGGAGAGATAAGGACCACTTGCTTTTGCTAGTCAGGATAGAGCAGACTGTGATATGACATCAAACAACACCCACCTTGCAGATGCCATATATAATAAAGGTCTGAAATGACATGCTTGGTAAATGCCCACTTCACATCTGCTTTCTAAGGCCACTGAGCTCCCATGGTTTGGGGATCCAGACTGCCTCAGACTTGTGGATCCCTGCTTCACCCTGCTGCCGTAACTGCTGTGGCAGAAGAAAGTGCTGGAAGGCAATAACCTGTATCTGAATGCTTTCACCTGATCAGAGCTAGTCATCTGCCCAACCTGATTACAAAGTGGGAGTCAGAAGCTGACAGTTTGAGAACAGTCTGGTAAGACTGACAGGTCCTCATGATAAACTGAATATGGGAGATAAAGAAGCAGGAGGTATGAGGGTAAAGATATAAATACGACAGATTCATAATTAATTCCCAAACCTTTCTCAGAAATGTTCTGAAAACACTGTACACAAAGTACACGATGAGCTCCCACAATCCCTCTTTATCCTGATGTGATTTTTTTACCCCTCCCAATTCCTTCCCCCCTTTCCCTCCTTCTGACTACAAGGCTAACCTTCTGTGCTTTCTGAAAGTATTATCATACTTTCCAAGGATTTGTTTTTTTCCAGTTTGTTACATATTTTATTCAGGCAGCACTGTTAATGAAGTGTATCAGTCAGCCAGCAGTGCCGTGAATCATGATGATGTCGGGGTTCTTGTTCACGAAGCCGAAGAATGAGCTTCACAAACACTCAAGGTAGGAGAGCAAGGTACAGGCTTTTATTTAGAGATAAAGTGAGAGGACAGAGCTCCTGGCTCATGCCAGGAGGGGACAGGAGAGTCCATGGTTGGCTCATTGTCTAGGGGTTGTATGCACGGTTGAGGATTTTCAGGAATGGGGGTAAAGGGCTAGGGGTGCAGACTTGTTGAGTGGTCCCATAATATTCATTTTTGATGAGTAATAGAATAAGTTTCCTGCTCTGGTTCTTTGTCAAGATAGTAGTTTCCCTCCTGGAGCACATCAAGACTGCCTACCCTGGCCCCAAGGTAGGCTGGGTTGTTGCCTGTTTGCTGAAGTGTGTTAAGAATCTTACTTCTTAACTTCCTGGGCTGTTTATAGTTGGGCTTGTTTACTAAATTAGTCTTTTTACTAGGTTGCAGATTACTTGGTTAGGATCAGAGAAGGAAATACAGCACATAGGTATGGTTAAAATAAGCTGGGCCTTTTAGCAGGCTAAGGTAAATTTTAGTGTCATGATCTAAATTGATACAGTGAAGTCACAGGTTATGCTGAGACACTTCTCTTTATCTGCAGAACACTCAAACATTCCAGGCCAAGTTGCTGCTGGCCTTTTGAGCTTTAACTGATCTCACTGAAGATGTCTATATTCCTAGTCTGGTATCTTTACCCTAGAGAATTAGTGTGACTCTGATTTTGCGTAATGCTTAACACAGAGTTTCAATAGGGACTTCTTTGCACATTGCTAAATTGTTCTGATGGTAATTATCTTGCTCTGCTTTTTCTCCGGAGGCCCTCAACTACTCTGCCTAAACCCATGGTCCCTGTCTCAACGATGGCTCCACAACACTGAGTTGTGAGACTGTGACAAGCAGGCACCAATAGGACTTAGTGTCACATGACTTTCCTTAAATCAGAGAGTATCTTCATTATTAAAAAGTCAAAACAGTCTTGGCCAACTAAAACCCTGAAGACCCATGGAAAGCAATGAGAGTATGTGAGGGAAAGTGGAGAGGAGAAAATGAAGTCATGGGAAAAAACGGGGTCTTAGGTGTCCACAGGGCCAGCTTTGAGTCTGGGCTCCACCCTCTGACCTAAATCTTTGAATCTAAGGGCCTTCTTTTTAAAATCTTTACTTAATAAAGTAGTTATGGGGATGCTATAGACTGAATACTTGTGTCTCCCATGCCTATCCCCCAAAATTTGTATGTTGAAATCCTAACCCCCAAGGTGATGGTATGAGGACATGGGGCCTTTGGGAGGGGATGAAGGCATGAGGAGGAGCCCTCATGAGTAGGTCAGTGCCCTTATCAAATTGGCTCAAGACAGCTTCCAAGTCCCCTTCTGCCATGTGAAGACACACAGAGAGGAGGGCCACTATGAGGAAGGGGGCCTTTGTCAGACACCAGATCTGCAGGTGCTAAGATCTTGAGAACTGTGAAGAAATACATATTTCCATTGTTTACAAACCACTCAGTCTGTTGTATTCTGTCTGTTAAAGCAGCCTAGACAGACTAAGATAAGAGATGACATGAAATGCATACAAACACGCCTGGCACACAGAAGTCACTAAATAAATGTTGTATTCTTATTTTCCTAAATGCATCATCACATTGTTTCCTCAAAGTGGTCCCTGTCATTACCCCAGGGGTTGGAGACCTCTCCTCCATGGGGAGTCACTTCACAGGGCAAGAAACAGGAAGGGATGCCCCCGGGGTTCTCTTGGCTTTCTGTTTCTCTCCTGTTGCTTTGCATTTGAAGAGTCTTCATAGTTCTCTTCTTTTTCATCTAATGTCATTAAAACCTTCCTAGGAAAATGTTAAAATACTCACATGCAGAATCCATAAACTTCATCTGCTCAGCCCCTTTTACAGCTCCTTAAACAAGTTTCCTAGCTTATGCCATTCTCAACAATGTTTGTTATTCAAAGGGACAGAAGAGCAAATTAACAGTATAACTGCCATGTTTTAGATGCTGGAAGACTTGACTCCATAAGAGATGCAAGGAGTCCCAGGAGAAGTGGGAGGCAGTGAGAAGGCTAGATGGTCACTCATCTCTGTTGTGCAAATACGTGAGAATCAGATGTTCTCTGGACCTGAGCTCTTGAGGACCATGAGAGAACTACTTGCTCTTGAGAGAGGAAAGAAGAAACCTCAGTTTTGAATTGGAGAGGACAAACCACATGGACAGATCCTTTTTGAGAGACTAGCAACCACCACAGATGATGGCGTTAGAGAAATACTCCCTGATTTCTGATCTGGGACGTCGCTCAGACAAGTCAAAGAGGACAGAGATTAACGGATCAAGGTGCAAAAAGGAATTCCAGGGACCTGGAGGCAGAGGCAACCTGGCAATCAAGACCCTGTCACAAGACGAGTGTGAGCCTGTAACCCCAGGAAGGGTTCTCTGGGGTCAGGCTGGAATGGCCTCAGAAAGGATTGCATGCCAAAGGGAACCTGACATGGCAAAGGAAGCTACAGAGGTACAGCACATCATAGCCCCTGCCAGGAGCTCACATTCAGGCAGAAGCCCAGGGTATCGGTGGAAAGGGACTCTCCCCACCTCCACTTTCAAAACTAACTCAGCTTGATGGTATCAGAAGCTGGGTCTTGGGAGAGAAAAAGCACAGGACTCAGGAGGGCTTCCAGATAAGCTCTAATAACCAAAAACTGTAGGTCCAGACACCTATGGGCTCAACATAAGAATTCTGTTTCTGTCAACTCTGTGATTTTTTAACTTCAATTCTCTTAATTTTCTGGTGAAAGCCCT